CCCCCCCCCCCCTCCCCTATCTCCCTCCTGCACTACGCCCATGAATGTATTTTACACAATTTATTTAACTTTGGAATTCATTTCCGACAGACAGGTGCTGGCGTGGCGCAAAAGTATCCTGTGATGGTCTATATACACGGTGGAGAGTTCATACGTGGTGCCTCTAACCTTTTTCAAGGTCATATACTCGCGTCCTTCTACGATGTTGTTGTAGTTACGATTAATTATAGACTTGGTGCACTTGGTTTCTTATCGACCGGTGATGAGAACTCACCAGGCAATTATGGGATACTAGATCAAGTAATGGCTCTAAGGTGGATTTATGACAACATTGAATTCTTCAATGGTGATCGCGAGTCGATTACATTGTTTGGCCCAGGTGCAGGTGCAGGATCTGCCGGTCTGCTAATGGTTGCACCGCAAACTAAAAACATAGTGAAGAGAGTTATTGCACAATCGGGAGCTGCTTTGGCGGACTGGACACTTATTCAAGATAAATATCGTGCACAGAATACCAGTCGCGTATTGGGCCAATTGCTTGGCTGCTCCATAGAATCGTCATGGAAACTGGTTAACTGTCTTCGGACTGGACGTAGCTTTTATGAGCTGGGCAATGCAGAATTCCCACCGCAAGTAGGTACGTTTCCTTGGGGGCCGGTGCTGGACCACAACTTCACGGTGCCTGCCGATGATTGGTATGAGGGTTGGCGTGAAAAAGATTGGAAATTCTTAACGCAACCTCCGGAATATCTTATTCGACAAGGGCATTTCAATCGTGGATTGCAGTATATGACAGGTGTAACGACTCAAGAGGCAGCTTTGTTTGTAGGACAAAATGAGTCTTTAGCACCATATTACGAAATTGATGCTAAATTCTTTGATCAAAAAATCCGCGAACATGTCTTCCGGTACAATTACACACTAAATCCGAATGGCGTTTACGAGGCTATCAAATACATGTATACATATTGGCCGGATCCCAACAATAGTACGGTGATACGTGAGCAATATATAAATATGCTTTCTGATCTGTATTTTCGAGCACCAGTTGATAAAATGGTTAAATTACTATTGGAGCAGCGCGTACCAGTCTATATATACGTGCTCAACACAACAGTGGAAGCATTGAATTATCCACAATGGCGAAAATATCCACATAATATAGAACATTATTTCCTTACTGGCGCTCCATTCATGGACATAGAATTCTTTCCTAAAAGGGAACATCTCCAGCGCAATATGTGGACAGACAACGATCGAAACATGAGTCATTTCTTTATGCAAACCTATTCGAATTTTGCCAGATACGGGTTAGTTTCATTAATGAGAATATCTTTTAAATAATAAGAATTAATTGAAAAAATCACTGCAGTAATCCCACACCACAACAAGTTTTGGGCATCCATTTCCAACGTGCGTATCAAGGCGAGCTGCGCTACTTGAACATCAATACGACTTTCAACTCATCAATATTGCTCAATTATCGACAAACTGAATGTGCGTTTTGGACACAATACCTGCCAACGGTAATCGGAGTGCTAGTTCCGACTTATCCGCCTACAACGGAGTTTTGGTGGGAGCCAAAAGAGCCTTTACAAATTGCATTCTGGACTATGTCGGTAGCTTGTTTCTCCCTCATCGTTTTAGTGGTTATTTGCTGTATTATGTGGCGAAATGCTAAGAGGTACACAAAATTTACCATAGCTATAACTAGAAAACGACCGATCATCGATATTTAAGGCCGAACCGAATCGAACTTTGACCCACCGAAACCAAACCGAACATTTTAAGGGGCCCAAGTAATAAACAAGCAATGGCTTTTTAAAGATGCAGAGTTTTTATTTAAAAAAAGGAAAAAAAGTACATAAGAAAGTTCGGTCAAAGTTCGGCTTTTTTTGCCGAAGCCGAACCGAAACCGAACTGTATTTTTGTGGCCGAACATGGCCGAATTCGAAGTTTGGTCGTTCTCTAGTTATAATAAATATATTGCAATTATTGCGCTCGATTATTTTTCTATTTAAATATGCATTACATTTAACATTGCGTAATATTGGCGGTGAGGGCTTCTGCTGTATTCCTTTTCATCAAGGCGATACATTAGCTCAATGGCGGGGCACACGGTTGCCACATTTGGTCACTTGTGACCAAAATAGGTATCTTTTTGAGTCCTTGGTAACTTGGCAACATTTTTTTTCTTTGGTCACTTATGGTAAGTTTGCCGTGTATGTATAAAGTCAGACTAAAAAAGTTGGATTAATTTGGTATATTGCACTGTGGTTGTGCGTCGCGATGACAACAATACTAGAAATAATTGCATTAAACAAGCAACACAGCACTCAGAAAAAATAATTAACCACATATCGAAGAAAGTTGTCGCTGGGCAGTCTACTCGTTAATTTATCACAGTGTGGGGTGCCCGTCTTACGTTCAATATTTATTGTGATATTTGGATCGGGATCCATATTGATGGATTTAAAAATAGTGATGGATCGCGCGGGAATGCCACATGTTCAATATTTATCGCGTCAGTATTTACATGTTTTTGAGTTGAGAGGTTTAAAGTCCAATAGATGAAGCCTGGAAATCGTATCTATACTTTTTATTTAGGGGATTCCGTTAAACTCGTAAAGTCTTAAACCGGGTAAAACTCGTAAGTTTACGAGGCTTTTATGGGAACACCCCCTTTTTGAAAAGGAGTAAATAGGTGCGTAAAGTGGCTGTTTGACAGATCAACCAGGATTTTGTGAAGCAATTTTTGTTTCGTAGTATTTTCCATAACATCCCGCCATCTTATCTCTATCACTCTTAAATAAAATACAGTTAGAAATGCCGAAAATTAGGAGAAAACCTATGTCGAAACAGTTAGTGGATGAAATCCATTCATTTTATTCGCGTATTATTTTTTTCATTTATTTTCATTATTTTATCATACATTTTTGTATAAAAGTTTCGATCCCAACAACAATGAAGTTTACGTGGTCGTTTGCGCATCAAATTTGCCTCGTAAATTTACGAGGGACTCTTAAATAGAGCTCCATACAAATTTTGACAGTTCTTTTACGAAGCTCTTAAATTTACGAGGTTTACGAGACTTTTACGAGTTTAAAGGAAGACCCCTATTATATGTGTGATGATACCACGTCTACTTTGTTCGAAATGCAACGCGAAATGCCGAGCCGTGAATTGATATCACGAAATATGCCACACGTTCAATACTTATTGACAGATCTTTGATCCATATATAGAGGAAATGAAAAAAGGAGGTTCGAAGAGCAGTTTGTGCGGTGTATTTGGGTTCTATAGCGCTTCGGTATATGCACTTAAGTCGATTTTTTAAATATTTTTTTTTGTTCTGAGGCTAAGATCCCGTTCAAGAGACAAGAGCTTTAAGCATATTTTTAAAATCGTGCGTTGCAAAAATATTTATGTGTTGTTTTTTGTTTCAAAATTTTTTGTTATATTCTCTTTTTCTTTCCACGTACGTATACAGAGATTCGATAAAAATGTATGTATTTATATACGTATGTAAATGTATCTAATATATGAGGCCTTGAGCGCCAGAGTAGCTTAACTGACATTTCAAAAAAAGTTGAGGTGCACCTTAAAAAGCATTACCAGAATCGAAACGGTAATAGCCCGAGGCCCGCCCTTTTGGTTTTATTATATGTAGCATCACGTAGGTGCAATGAATTTTTTAGTAAAGGACCGAATTTATTTTTTATAGATCCTTCTTTCTCATATAACTGAAAATTTGTCTATAGATAGGCTCCTCTGGCCCTCATGGCCTCATATGTAAAATTAATTTGTTTACTTTTCTTTTAATAAAACTTTATTGCACCCATTTCTTATTTATGGCAAATAAACGAGGTTTGTTTTTACAGTTTATTGTATAATAAATCGTTGTTTTTTACTTGGTAACTTTTAGGTAACTTTTTTTGTAAATTCTGGTCAGCAAATTTTTTGTTGTGTGGCAACCGTGCTGGGCACACCGACACAGTCTCATTTTGTCGTGGTATTAGTGCGTCGCGCTCAGTTATGGTTGCCACATTTTTATAAATGTACTAAAAGTGGTATTTTTCGTGCATGGGTCAGGCCAGATAGGCCAAAATCTTTATATACGTATAGTGAAATAATGAATCTTGGAAGTTTTTAGTAACTAATACTATTAGTTTATGGAAACTTTTACATATGAAAAATTTAGTACTTGTAAAATTTAAAAAAATTTAATTGGTAAAACTCATTTGTTTAACCCCTGGGCACCGTTTTGTTAGAATCAAATCTTTTGAATGCCGGCCGGCCAGATGGTTACGGTGTCTAGATGTTATTATTTTCATATAAATAGGTATTTAGTCCTGAAAATAGAGTATAACTTACAAATATTATTCATTACGTATTTTTCTCTATCGATTTCTTTAGACATTTTTTTCTAAAATAAAGTATGCAATTTGTGAATGTCATGGGACTTATTATTAAATTAGTGAACGTTGGTCAGCAAGCAGACAATTGTATATGTTTTTAAATTCACGGAATATACAGCTTGCTTATATTAAAAATATATAGGAATAACAGCATTATGGACATTGGGGCTTGTTGAAAGTTCTTTGAACTATAAACTGTAGTTCTTATATAGAGTCGCACCATTTTGTGTTTGAATCGTCACAAACGCATGCAAAGAACAATGTAAGAAAATCTTTGCATTGGGGATTTTTTGCAATTTTCCTACACAAAATATGGCAAGCGTGTGCTAAAATTACGAAGAAAAACAAGCCACAGCCGAGCGTGACGTTGCCTTGGTGAAATCTGAAAGCAGATTGAATTAGTGGTGTCAAACTATCAATGGCACTATCGATACTATCGATGGGATTGGTTTTTTTCCACTATCGATAGTTTTGAAAAACTATCGAGTATTTTCACTATTGAAAACTTTCCAAATTTTAGACACAAAAATGGTGAATGTGCATTGTATAAAGCAGCAATACTTTTATATAAAACAATATATGGCAGCTATGTTGGCCTAACTCATCATCAGTAGAATCAGAACGAATGTGCAGTAAAGCAGCTTTAATATGTAATAGTAAACGAAAAAACTTACTTACTATGAATAGGCCCCAACTAGATTTTTATCTTTTTAGAAATAGGCGACTATCGATAGGCTATCGACAGTTTAAAAAAAAAACAATATCGCCCACTATCGATAGTCGCGACTATTACCACCACTTGACTGAATCGAAATTCGCTGCTGTGCTTCTGTGTACGTATACGAACTGCGACGCTGGCGTTGCTCGCGAGCAAAAATCGCCTATCTATGCGTTAGATCAGAGGTGGGCACTACCGAGTGTTGTCAGTTTGTGGGATTTCGCCCTTTTTTCGGGATTTTATGACTAAAAAGGGCGAATGGGATTTTCTGTCGAAAAGGAGGATTTCTTGTATACCATACCAAGCAATAAAATTTAGTAATTGATTAATAAGAAAAAGGTGCCATACTCCGTGGTAAATTAACGCCGCTCATATGAATCCTTTCAGCGGAACTTCATTCACTTGAAATAAATTTTAATAGCAAGTTTATGAGTTATACGAAAAGTAATGTGGATGGCTTGAGTTTCTAGATTCTGAACTTGTGTTAAGAGATTGTTAAAGAAATAACTACAAATCTGTAGAAAGCCTAGCGGTATACACAATTGTTGACCATCATGAACTGTTGAATCGGCAGGTCGGCACACCAACAAATTTTTATCTAGGTTATTTTTTAACCAATTCTAAGTTTTTGTAGGGCTTTGGAAAGAAGAATATTTGTACTATTTAAAGAAATAATAAATTTTGTGAGCATATTGCAAATATCGATGGTCCTCTGCAATTACGACACAACTTAAATATTCATATTTTTCAGATTTTTTGTTTCGTAATTTAGCAATAATATGTTTTGGAACGTATTTATTCCGTATTATTTGCAGTCATTCTGTTGGAAAAATTTGTAAGCTTCCGACTTTTTCTAAAGATTAAGTAAGTGTTGGACTGTAAAAATACGAAATAAGTAACAACTCCTAAGTAGTTAAACGAAGAAAACTCCATTTGTATTGCTTAACAACGGCACGAAACGAAAAGTGCCGTTATTTCCCATAAAAAATTACTAATTCTCTTACTTAAACTATGTACTGAACAACGACACAATAGGAAAAGTGTTGTTATTTCACATTGAAGCATCACTAACCTATCATGATAAATGTACGACATGTGCCACTGTTCAGTAGTAAGGGTTGGCCACTTCGGTTTTGCGACAAATGGCATATTGTCGATTTGCCACAGAAAAATATGATTAGCCCGCTATAAAACTAAAAAACGTGAAATTTTCGTGTATCCCGTTATTGCAGAGGAACATCGATATGTGGAAAGTTTTTAGAATAAATTTTAAATTTACAAAAAATTGTATTATTCTTTCCAATTCTACCCCATTTTTTGTAAAAATTTCGAAAGAAAATATTCTCTTTTATACACTTCTTTGAAAATAATGTTTTATTCAGAGTAAAACTATGTCTTCTGCTTCTTATTTGGCTCTGTAATCGCTTAAGCGATTTTGGCCGAGTTCAACAAAGCACGCCAGTCGTTTCTTTTCTGTGCCAACTGCGGCCAAGTCCGTCTCCCACCTGGTATTTCCATCTCAGTTTGGAACCCCCTCTTCCTCTGTTACCACCAGCGGGTTCCGAGTTGAATGTTTCAGAGCAGGTGCGTCGGTGTCGATTCGAAAGACATGACCAAGCCAGCGGAGCGGCTGAATTTGCTCATACAGCTCATCGTTCCATCATCTGCGGTACTCGCCGTCGCCAACGCGTAAAGGCCAGTAAATCTTCCGCAAAATCTTTCTCTCGAATACTCCAAGATCCGCCTCATCGGTTGTTGTCACTGTACATGCTTCTGTGCCATAAACCAGCACAGCCATGATGAGAGGCTTATAGAGTGTGGTTTTCGTATATCGAGAGAGGACTTTACTCCTGAATTGCCTACTCAGTCCAAAGGAGCACTTTTTGGCAAGAGTGATTCTGCGTTGGATCTCCATGCTGACAATATTATCAATGTTAATGCTGGTTCCCAAGTAAACGAAATTGTCTACTTTCTCGAAATTATACCTGTCAACAATGACGTGGGCGCCAAGGCGCGAATGTGCTGACTGTTTGTTTGATGACAGCAGATACTTCGTCTTACACGTTTACCACCAGACCAATTCCATTTGCTTCGTTACCCAACTTGGCAAAGGCAAGAACAGATTTCGCGGTTATTGTTACCGATGATGTCGATGTCATCGGCATAAGCCCGCAATTGCACGCTCTTGTAGTAGATTCTTCCTGAGCTGTTCAGTTCTGCAGCTCCTGTTATCTTATACAACATCAGATTAAAGAAGTCGCATGAGTCGCCCTGTCTGGAACATCGTTTTGTGGCGAACGGCTCGGAGAGGTCCTTCCCAATTCTGACGGAGCTGGTGGTACTGCTCAACGTAATTTTACACAGCCATATCTATTTAGTGGAGATGCCAAATTCAAACATAGCGGCGTATAGGCAACTCCTTTTAGTGCTGTCGAAAGCGGCTTTAAAGTCGACAAATAGGTGGTGAGTGTCGATCCTTTTCTCGCGGGTCTTTTCCAAGATCTGGCGTATTGTAAATACCTGGTCTATAGGGGATTTGCCAGGTCTAAAGTCACATTGATAAGAGTTAATCAGTTCGTTGAACCTCTGCTTAGAAGGCTGATTCCACGGTAGTTGGCGCGAATGGCGGGGTCCCATTTCTTGTGGATTGGGCAGAGCACACTTAAATTTCAGCCGTCGGGCATGCATTCATCTGACCATATTCTGCATAAGACTTGATTCATGCACCTTATCAACTCCTCGCCACCGTACTTGAATAGCTCAGCTCGCAGGCTGTCAGCTGCAGCAGCTTTCTTGTTTTTCAGCCACGTTATTGCTATTCGTACCTCGTCATAGTCATTCGGTGGTACATCGACTCCGTCATCATCGACTGCGGGCTCGGGTTCTCCTTCTCCACAACTTTCCGTGCTGCTTCCATTCAGTAGGGTGGAAAAGTGTTCCCTCCATAATTTATGTATGTTCTGAACATCGGTAGCTAGGTCGCCATTACTGTTCTTACAGTAGTAGGCCCTGGTCTTGAAACCTTCCGTAAGTCTCCTAACTCGCTGGTAAAATTTTCGGGCATTCTTCCTGTCGGCCAACATTTCAGGGTCTTCGCACTCACGTTTTTCGGTCTCTCTCTTCTTATTGAGGCAAATACGCTACCGTCTTCAGTTGCGCCCGATCGCAGCGTGGCCCTGTAGGCGGCATCTTTTTTTTCTGCAGCTTCCTGACACTTCTCATCGTAGGATTTGTTCTTTCGGGCTCGCTGAAATCCGATTACTTCTTCGGCAGCAGTAGTTAATGAGCGGTATATGTGGTTTCACTGCTCGCGTATGTCGGTTTGTTGAAGAGTGCTCTGAGAGCAGGTGTGGGGGTCGAGTAGCGAATGCATTGGCTGTCTGTTGTGATTGCAACTTTTCGACGTCAATCTTTCCTTGCATATTTGGGCGCACACTTTTTGCTGCACAGAGGCGGGTGCGTATATTGGTTGCAACAGTATAGAGGTCCGAGTCGATGTTTGGGCTTCGCAGTGTACGTACTTCTAAACCATTGGAAGCATGCCTTCCGCCTATTACAACATGAGCGATTTGGTTTCTGGTTTTTGGATCCGGAGACAGCCACGATTATACTTTTATACTT